ATTTCGTTAACTGAATGATTCATTTCTAGTCAGTCTTGAGTTATAAATTATTTTAATATGTACTTTTTTCTTGTAAACATATATGCTTTATTTAACTACTATCCGTGATTTGTGGTTGGTATCCTCTTTGTCACTCTGACTTTAATAGACCTTGTCACGGTTTTCGACGCCATCTTGACGAGTAGGCAGACTTGTGAGGAATTACAGTGATTGTATGAGAATCTAATGTCGAATAATTTCCGTAGAACGGCTGTTCTGTAAAAAATATGATTTGTAAACTAAAGCTTCACTCCTATGGATTCTCCTGAAAAACTTTGAGGGCGTTACATGCACTAAAAGACCTAGAACCACCTTTTAAAATTTTCTGTACATTTGTCTTTAAGAAAGTCCCGGGAAAATTACAGACAAATATATGGAAAACCTAAAGCAAGCCTCTGGAGAAATTTAAGCACAGGTACGCCCCCCAATTTTTTTAAGGTCAATGCTTTGCTTTGTAGCTTTAGTTTACAATTGATATTTTGTTCAGAACAGCCGTTTTACGAAAATTATTCGACATTAGATTCTCATACAATCACTGTAATTTCTCACACGTTTGCCTTCTCGTCATGATGGCGTCGGAAGACAAGGTCTATTATGGTACGCTTTGGAACAGAGCAGTCTAAGAAATGTACACATGTTTGGCTTTATAGCTCGGCCATAAAGGCAGGGGGGGCGGTATCAGAGAATCTAAGGGTACTCTCCCGAAACTTACCATTCCTCGGATTCATCGTTTGGATAATTTGGCTTATTCTTGTAAAACAAACAGAAACGACTCTCCGGAGGGTGTGGGTATTTATTGATCGGCGGGCATTTATAGTTGCCGTCATCGTTTGCTAAAAAATTTCTCCCATCCCAACATCCTAGCAAAAGAGGCTCACGAATATGACGGCTCTTGAAAACATCTACTGGCTGTATTGTAAATTTAAGGTATTCTTTTTGGGGGTTTATTTCCATGTAAAACAATTTGCCGTTTGGATGCCTGTTAAGTTTCGGGTAATCATAATCATCTTTCTTTGAAACATGGCAAATTTGTAACTTTTCCGTATCGTTTAAACAATTGACAGAATAAGACACGTCCATATTATGTGTCAAATCCTCTTCTTGTGGGAGATTAGTTATTTTCATTTTTATCAATTTGAGTTCTTTTTCGCGGTGTAGGTAAAAGAGACTAAAAAAAAATCTCATCTTTTCAGGACGAGCTGCTGCGTTTGTTTTAACGGCTACATATGCAACAACTTCCCTGCCTGAATCAACAATGCAGCTCTTTGGCCAATTTTTAGGATCAGTGAGAAAGTAGATGAACAAGTCAGCTACCCTTTTCAACTTTATAGCATCTTCGGTATTCGACTCCCCTTCAACCGCCCTCCTTACCTCTTGCTGTAGATCATCTTTAAAAAACTGATAAAAACCCTCTGCCGGACTCTTTAAAGCTACAATAAGAGCCTTGGCCTTATAGAGTAGTTTTTTCAAACGTTCCTCCCACATGCTTGTCTTGCTGTCACAGTTTCTTAGCTTGTGCTTAGTGCAAATCAGATGGTCGAAAAATAGCTGGGCTTGTGTTGCAAGGAAGGCGTAGGTGGAGATGTCTGTCACAAACCTTTTGACTTTGTCAGGTTTTGTTTTGCAGTAAGTTTTCATAAATGGCTTTAGGAGTGAACGCGTCAGTGGCAGAGATCCAAGCTCATCTACCAAGAGATCCAGAAGCTTGTGTCCCGTGTCTCTTTTTTTGTAGTTGCTGACGAACTTTTTGACGCTGTATTCTAGTATCAAATCATTAGTCCCACATACGGGATTTCTCTTTAGCGACTTTGCTATATCTTGGAATTCTCTGAGAGAATAGCGAATGCTGGCTACCGCATCAGCCATCTTAGTCATGGCGCCTTCATTCATGATAAGTTCCTTTAGTTCCCCCTTCATACGGTTAAGATGGTTATGTAGGGCGGTGAATTCCTCTTGTAGATACTCGGCTAGCTTGTCAAATGGATTGGGAGTCAAAGCTGTAGTAAGGATACTGGTGAGTCCACCGAAGATACCGAGTGCGGGTCCAAGCGCGCCCAATATCGAGTTAATCTTGGTAAGCGGCCCTTCTACGCCGAAGACCTTGGTGAGTTTCACTGCAGACTCAAGCTGGTTGATATATTGCTTGACTCCCTCCCGACTATTAAGATCTGCTATCCCTTTAGCTATAACGTAACCTGCCTGGGCATAATCATTAATGGCATTGTATTTCGGCACTTCAAACGGGCGCGCGTCGGTATCAGGGGACGGTAAGGTATCAATGAGTTTTTCTCTTATCAGCAACTCGGAAATCTTGTTCGGGCAAACACGCAGAGGCTTCAGCTTGGATTTGAACTCTTTACAGGGCGGGATTGAGGTTTCCTCTTCGTCGCTGCAGGTAGTCTTAAAGTTTGTTGGCAAGTCAACATAGATGTTCGTATCTACTGCCACAGCTTGAAGACAGAGATCTTCCCCAGAGGTAGAAACTACCTTAATGTACTTTACGCCTTTTTGTGGTATCAATACCGGGAGATCAAATCGCTGCATCCTATGGCTTAGGTCAATTCTTGCACTAAAGAAGAATTTTTTATCAACAGATTCCAAAGTTTTTGCAATTATTTTGAAATATGCGTTTTCGTTCGACTGAAAATCATCGCAAAAAACCACTGAGACACCTGACTTCTGTGACTTTGATACTTTTTCTGCGTCTGACTTCAAAGGCTTCAGCTTGGATTTAAACTCTTTACAGGGCGGGAAAGAGTTTTTTTCTTCTGCACTGCAGATAGTCTGGAAGTTCGTTGGCGATTCAACAAAGATGCTGGTGTCTACGGACACAGCTTTGAGGCAGATATCTTCCCCAGAGGAAGAAAATACCTTGATGTGCTTAACGCCTTTTTGCGGTATCAATACTGGGAGATCGTATCGTTGCTTCCCACGGCTTGGGTCAATTCTTGTACTAAATTTGCTCTCTCCATTAACAGGTTCCAAAGTTTTCGCAGTTATTTTGAAATATTCTTTTCCGTTCGTCTCAAAATCATCGCAAAAAGCCACTGAGACGCCCGAGTTCTCAGAGTTTGGTGATGCTACGTTTTCTGCGTCTGACTGTTGAGCACGAAGGAAAAAGACAAACGCTACGAATACTGACCACTTCATGGTAACACTGCTGAGTATCTGCTGTGCTAAAATAAACAGGAATCTGCGCTGATTACAGCCAGAATAGTCGGGTGAGATTATTGAACTTGCTTTATCAAAAGTATAGCTTTGAAATATTAAAACTCAAAGATAAAGTCATTGCCGAAGCCAGTCCAATGGCCAGCAATGTTGAGTGTTCTTCAAATACCAGTTTTTGACCTCTTGATGGGAACTTGTCAAGCGGAGAGAAAAATAATTGTTTGTTGATGACAGATTGTATAGTCTATGAAATATTTAAATCAAAGATAAAGTCATTTCAGGCCAATATTTTGTAAGACTGTCTTTAATAATCAGGGTTAAGAATTTATCTAAACAACTACATACAGTAATTCCGCGATAGTTATTCGGGTCGCCTATATCACCCGCTTTAAAGACTGGTGAAATATAACCCACCGACCACAACTGGGGAAATATGCCGGAATTCAAAACTTTATTAAAAAGAATTTGCAATACAGGCCCAATGATGGACACGCTTGATTTGATCATTAGATATACTATCATTTCCGGCTGCCTTGCCAGTTTTTAACTTGGTCGATGCTTTACGTATCTCTTCAAGCGTGATCGGTTCGTCTAGGATTGGTTCATTTGATTTTGCGAATTCAGCAATTTTAGATACGTTAAAGTCAACCAACTTCTCAAACCCACTTTTTGCGGAGTTATGGGGGGTAGAGAGTTTCCTAAAATGGGTAAACCATTCTTCTGCATCAATTTTGTCTGATATTTGGTTGGCTGATTTTTGTCTTAATTCGTTTACCATTTCCCAGAAATTCTTGGGACTGTCAGACTTCAAAAGAAGCAATTTTTTTTTTCTTATAAGCTTTTTTTATTATTAAAAATGTACCTCGCCCAATGGAATCTGAGGGAAATTTCGAAGACAGTTTTCCAATGCGCAGTACTTCTCTTTTAAGTTCGAAACAAGATTTATCAAACCACTTGTTTTTCCTTTTCCGGGAATTTTTGGGTTTTTTCAACACAGGTAAGCCTGATTTTACAGGTAATGTGGCTTCAGCAACACTGAAAACAACATCCAAAAGATCTTTAACAGCGTCATCGACATCATAGAAGACGTCTTTCAGACATGCATTAGAAAATTTGTTAAGGTGGTCTACCACCTGTTGTGATGATAATTCATCCAAAAATTTTGTTTTGAATATATTGTTCCATTTGAAAGACACAGGTAGAGGGTGTAACTGAGAAGGAGACTTTTTTGTTTTCACACGCACCCCCGATTTCAATACAAAAGATATTAGACAATGGCATGACCAGTCCGTTAGAGGGGAGACAACAAAACCCATTATTTCAGTTAGTAATTCCTCAATTACTACAGCGTAGCCAGTTGAGCTTACTCCATTGGGGGTGAAGCAGGTAAAGTCGCCTGGTCTGTCACCTTTAGTTCTCCAGTTAAGGACGTTAAGAATTATTATAATTTAAAGCCATGGCAAAGCTCTATCAATTCTAAGCCAAACTTCTTAACTGTATGATCCCTGTTGCTTCTTCGTAAAGCATGTTTGCGTTCAGATACTCCTAATCTACAATTAGAAACCTAAGAGACAGCTTTTGCAAAATCATCCAAGTTTCCAGTGCGTGCATTAAAGTCACCGCAAAGAATAATTTTCCCTTTTTTACCGAAGTAGGAAAGCTGGTCACGGAAAGTGATATAGCAATTAATGCCGTCTTTGTTTGATTCTGGGATATACGTCTTCGACGTATACGGCGGTAAGTAAACAGAACAAAAGCCGAAAATGTCGTCCGTAAGTCCAAAGAAATTCCGATCTAATTTCCACCATAAAAATCTGTCGTCATCGCATTTACAAATGGTGACGCCCTGAAACAACTGCTCTTTTACGAAAAGGGTTATTCCACCCTACGCACGCTTAGCTCTTGGGTTTTTCCTCCTATATAAAGAAAAACTAGTATATCCCTCAAAATTTACTTGCTCATCAGTTGGCAACCAGGTTTCTAGCAAGTAATCAGTACTATAAAAGCTAAATTACTCAGGAAATTTCTAATTATATACCCTGTGATCTTCCCGACTTATCTAGGAAGATCGAAGGGCCTCTGCTCGCAGTGTGCTAATTATAAGGTGGCTACATGTGATGCTCTCCTCGCCCTCTTTTCCGTCGGAGGCTAGAAAGACTAAGTGGCGAAGATTTTGGCAAACCAACGGATCTAAAATATTTAAATACTCAAAAAAGAGAAGGATTCGATCATATATCTTCAAAGTTCTGAGAGTGAAAATGATATACAGTGGAATCCCGATTTTTCGAACCACTTTGAAAAAAGCAAATTGATTCGAGCTATCGGAAGGTTTAAATAAAGGGGGTAAAATTACAGTGTTTGACTGGTGATGAAAAAAAAAATCAGAATTCTATTTGTCATCTATGTAGAACCAATGATAGAGAATCGTTTGATAAGGTAGTGTTTCTTATCTTCTATTTCATTTAGAAAACGCATAATTTCCTATATTTGGCAAGCCGTACCTTCTATATTCTATCATCAATTTATATGATTACTTGTCCTTGATTTTGCCATTGCTTGTCGCTGGTTCGAGTTTTTTTTCAAGATCTAATAAAGAAGATTTCTTTTCTTTTTTAATTTGACAAGAGTACAATTTTAATTTATTGTTATAAATTGAAGTAGCTGTGATTGATGTATTGATGTGTTTTAGCTACCTCTACTGTCAATGATGTTTTTGGTTAAGTCAGTTATCTCTGATTTATTTATTTGTCGAGTACCATCTAGTCTAGTTGTATTTGTACCGCGGTTATGTTAAACTGCGTACAAATCAGGGGCACCCAATGACGGTTTCCTCCTACATGCGTTGAAAACACTTTTTAGGCTATCTAGCTCCTTTGCATAAAACAAGGAGTTAAACAATGATAAAGGTTGAAATAGAGTGATAAAAAGTTTGTTATCAATTGATAAGGAAAGGAAGTCAAGACCGTTTTGTTGCAAAAATACTGGGTCTATATAAATTGTCCTATCGATATTTGTTTTGAATTTGAGAAGCTTCCATCAGCACAAAAGGAAAGCCAAAGGAATAGCATTGTTAAATTTCAATAGGATCATCGTTAATAAAAAAGGATTATTTTCTGAGCGTAGATTTGCGGCAACACTTCTCGAAAATAATTATAACAGATTCGGGATTTTTTCCCTCTTTGTGGTGGTTGTAGTGTCTGCAAGGATAAGAGGATCTCGAAGTCATCTCAAATAATATCGAACAAATCTACCAAATAGGCTAAGCGTTGTAAGCGAAATCAAATGGCGGATTGAAAAACCAAAGCCTAATTACTGGAATTTGGTGCTGAGTTTTCTTTGCTTTTTTCTAAAACTGTTTCGTCTTAGTGATGTTCTCCATATTTAGCAAAATAAAAGAAGTGCCTGGGTGGGACGTCGCCAAACCACAAACAATAAACCATTTTACAGTTACAGGTCAAACCGAGGCTGGAGTTGACCTTCGTCTCAGTCAAGGGTGTGTTGGTTTTGATACAACCCTTCCTTCTTTATTTTAAGTCATGTGGTTCTTACGCTAACTCATATTTTTTCAGTATAAGTTCCATTATAAAATTAAGGAGGTTTATATGAAAACAAGGTCAAACTCAGCATTACGTTCACTCGTAGGCTAGATTACTAAGGCTACAACTGTAAAATGGTCTATTCTATTGTGATCTCAGGTGGCATTCTGCAGGTGACACCTGCTGTTTCACTGTTTCAGTGGAATCGGGATTTTTATAACTTCCAAGGGAAATGGAAATTGGTTCGAAAAATCAGCGAGAATATATTCGAAAAATCAACGGTGGCATGGAATCACACCTGTTTTAACATGGTTTTGTTTTAAAAGAACCAAGAAGGCTGCAGACAACAACGGCCTTATTTTCAAACTAAACTTACATGTAGTGTAAATTATAAAAGATTTAAGCCAACTAAGCAAAACAAAAACCAGTACTGTATTGGTATACAGTATGTGTTAATTTTGGGCGGACTTCATTTGCTGTAACAGAAACCCACAGTAGTAAAAAATGTATAATTATAGTAGTTCATAGTTAGCTGTGTTAAAATAACGGGTGATATAAGGTGTTGCATCTTTTCAACACGGAAACTCAGGCTCTCTCTTTACAACGTCCGTAATGCTTCCGATTGTGTAACAACAACGGTGTTGCAGTTTATAACAGATTTGTCACTTACTTTGTAATATCAAGTATATAAATACACCTTCCCAGGAGCTTGTTGAATGCTTAACCAGGAGTACATGTGCAGACCAAAATCTTGTGTTCCAGGTTGGTTCCTAAATTTTCAAGGTTCAAGAAATCGAAAGTAAATTTTTGAAAGGAATCAAAATTAGTTCGAAATCTCGGAAGTTGAGAAAAACCGAAGATTCGGCAAAACCGGGGTGAAATTACTGACCGTGTCTGACCAAAGCAACGTCTTTTGGTTAGAAAAATCGGGCGTTTCGGAAAATCAACTATTTGAAAGTTCGGGATCCCACTGTACTCTACCCAAGTGGTTCTAGTTAGTCGAGCTTGCGTAGCAGAACGACTCATAATTTGCAACCTTTTTTTTTTCTTCGTATTTAGTCCATAAATAGGAAGTCATGGTCCCAGGCGTTCTTAGCGGAGACAGTGGAAACTGGGGATAGGATCGCTACGTGACCTAAGACATATAAAGATTTTCCAGAGCGCCATGAATGTTTTGTGAAGAAAGCTTTCGAAAGATTTTAAAAATGCGAAAGATGTCCATCAGCTTTTCCAGAAAGGGTCGGTCCACGAATTCTATCGATTGAAATGAGTCTTGTGATGAGCTTGTGGTTTATTTTCGGCGATAATTGAGATGACACGCCATGTTTATCACGTTTTGGCTCTTTGGCAATGATGCAATTCCTCTCGAATGGAGGCCCTTGATTTTCGTGTATTTTCATACACGCGTGCTCAATAACAAATGGACGAATGTGACGATATAACAAGTAAAGACCCTGAAGAACCCAGAGAGGGGAGAAGAACCACTCTATAAGCTTGAATCTACTTCTTTTTAAAAAAAATACAATTCAGCTCATGCATCAAATATTATGGAGCTTATTCAAGTTACGCTACCTATTATTACTTCTCTGATGTTAAGACCGTATTAGGCTCGTGAAGTTCATTATTACCTTTTATGTTCGGATACTAACGACTAGACTGTCATTATCACAAAGTGCGATTGAGCAATAAATTTGCATGCTCTTTATATTGTTGAACCTCATGCTTGGTTTACGTAACTCAGAGCATTAGAGTGCACAGGAGTGCCCTCAAATTGGCTTATCTAATTCTTCTCGCGGTTTACCGCCAAATTCATTTCACCGGTGCTTTTATGGTCTTTTTTAACAGTCGCGCGCGATAATAGTGAACTTACACTAAAGGACGGCGGACGAAAGAAAACGGCGATAAACCTTTTATGACAAGCGTAAAAGTAATTTTGTTTTAACAATTTTTATGGCAAGCTTTCTCGTCCTTTAAACAGATCGTTTTTTTTTTGAGGCCAGAACATAGTATTGTGATACGAAGATCATGAAAAAAAAACTTGCAAGAGATAGCCCTCTCACTTTTGTCACACACAAACGTTTTGCCGTCCTGTTGCGAAACCTCATCAATGTGACGCAGGCTACCTTATGCGGATGTCGATTAATCTTTGAAAATACGTAGAACTACTAAAAGCGTTATAACAAATGAGAAGAAGCTTTTGGGCTTTAAATCACCCTTTTTCTATAGCGGAATTTCATTTTTTATTTTCGTCAGCTGTCAAGCTTGAAAAGCGCATAAAAATTTTGTTTAGGCTTTTATAGACTGTGCTTGCAAAAGTAGCATAATATGCTTCGAGCAGTGGTCATACATTTCTCGAATTATGGCAATAATTATGCTAGTTTTTTCTAAAAAATGCAGAAATTATTCCTCTTATTTTTCCTTTAAATTTAGTAAAAACAGCTCAGTAACCTTACAACTAACAAGTAAATGACAAACACATTTACCCATTTTACATCTAGAAACTTTAATAGGGCATAATTCACGCCATCTTGGGTATTCGAGCGAGTTACGCACATGCGTTGAGTCCTGCGGAAAGACTCCTGTGTCACTACCAGTGCAGGGGCGGATCCACGATTTTTTTTAGGAGGGGGTGCACTCGTCTCTTGCTCTAGTTCAACACCAATAAACCACATAGCTTTTTTTTGTGCAGAATACCAGTTGTATTAGAAAACTGCAGGTCATCTCGGGGGGGAGGGGGGTGCACACCCCCTGCACCCTCCCCCTAGATCCGCCCCTGCAGTAGGATCCAGGTCCCTTGAATTTGACAATTTAATAAGCAGACAAAAAAAAGTGGTTTTTTAACTTAAATTTGCCTGTAACACTGATCACGGGCCAGAAAAGATTGGTTGCACAATCATTAAATGACCATTTTGTGTTGCAAAACTAGCCAAAGTACAAATTATGCTAACAGTGCTTTTTTCGGAAAAAGGATCAAAATTAGACTCGTGATGACAAATTATGCCAAATATGACGCTATCAAAATCTATCAAAGCCTTATTTTGTTGGGGTTCAACCTGTTCTTTACATGCTAGTATCATCATCTTGTGGGTCCTCTATTTGGTAGCAAGGGTTCTCGAGGCTGTAAAGGGTGCCAAGCTTAACAGCAGATGGGTCCCCGGACTGGTAAATTAGGTTCTTCTGACTGAGTACCGGTCGCTCCTTAACATCCTCGTTCGTATCGTATATGGGATTCTGGAAGGTTTGATCAGTAGCTGACGTTCTCATCTTGCCAGTTTTAAAATGGGGGATTTTCTTGACGCGATAGCGAATAGCGTACGCCAACACTCCTTAAGAAGAGAAGAAGCAACAACAATTTTTACAAAACGATTTGTAACAAGACCTGGTCCAATCGTAACATTTGTATAGAAATTCTTTCCTACTATAATATCCCACGTTCGACTATAGCAGTGCAATTTTCGTGCCCTGATAAAATTATAGTTTAGCACTTTTTATTTTATAACTTTGTTTTTGCGAAAAGAAAATTTATCTCATACATGGAAGTGTATTATAATGCTTATGGACGTTTCATATTACATGGCAGCAATGTGTGTCGGTTCTCGATCTTACTAATCGGGCTTTCAAATGATGTCTGTCAACTGATGTCAGTGGAAACGTCAGCTTTCGAATCTCTTTACGATGGCAGATTTACTTTTCATTATTAACTCAGCACTAAAAAAATGTTTAAAAGTAACCCCTTCTATTAGTTCTTATTGTTGATGAATGAGTAGCGTGATTCAGATAGTGTTCTTTGAAAACAATTACATTTTCGACCCTCATCATATTCCACCGATTCAGTGTAGGGAGTCATATGATTGAATTAACCCTCTACCAATCTACCAATCTCAATCTTGAGTCTTTGAATAAAGTGATCTCTGAGAGCTTAGAAGGACTAACCATGCATACAGAAAAATACTAGAAATGCCTAATTTGGTTTGCGATGGAACGAACCTGCCAGTAGAATGACAATAACAGCCACGCATGCGCCAAAGGCTATCTTCCATTTCGTGGCGACATCTTTATCACTTCCAAGCCCGGACGCGTTTGGACTCCTAGTCGTCTTGTCAACTTCTCCTTTTCGTGTGGTTCTGGTTTCGTCTGTAGCAGTAGTCGCCACTGACTCCTTCAACGTGGTTTCAGTGGGAGGGAAAGTCGTAGGATAAGTAACGATATCTGGTGAAAGATGTACGAGAAGACCATTAAAGAATTTACGTGTTGTTGTACAATTTCAGCTTTCAGCTTATAGAGGATGGTATGTCGTTCAACTAAAAAATGGTGGACTGGCCCAAATGAGGGGAGAAACGTTCTTTTGTTATTTATTAGTAACTAAATCCAGTTATAGATTATTACTACTCTCACAATGGATGGCTTAAAACTGCTTAGCAGTGACGATTGTTGCAGATTTGCTATGGCGAGAGGAGGCAACGCGTATCATTATCATCTAGCCTTACCTTTGCAGGAAGAACGCGTTTCTAATCCTGTTTTGCGGGAATTAGAACCCGAGGGACAAAGAAAACAGGACATTTGTCCCTGATGTGGTTGGTATGTTCCAATAGGACACGGAAAGCATGCCGTCGCTGTCCCATTTAAGGCACCATAAGTACCCGATGGACAGTTCACTGTAAAAAAAAAAAGTTTAGAACTTTATGCGGATCCTTACATTAGTCTACTAGGAAGAGTTTCAATACGACTTCGAGTCTCCAACCAAATCTGAGCGCTCAAGATAATTCTACCACACTTCTTTTTAAGTCCTTATACTGGCTCGACGCTAGAAAGGAGCGAACGATCTGGCGGGTCATTAGCAGGTTTTAAATGTTAAATTTCACTTAGTCTAGCGTTGAAGGACAATGGAAACGTAGGCAATGCCTCTTTCATTCCAAACCACTGACATACTTCATTTTACAGTTCAGCTAACTCAAAAAGGAATAGAAACTGAAAATTATCTGTCCTAAAATTGCCATATACGAATAATGAAAGGCGCACATTCAAAAGTGACCTGTTCCGTTAACTACTTAATAGCTGGTGAAACTTTTCCAAAGTGAGAAATAAAAAACCTGTCTCTGAAGAGTGAAGGTACTGACAGAAATTTTTCTCGAAAAACCAGAAAATTAGGATCAGTAGGTTGATTTCCCGTCTGACTGGAAGTAAACTAGTTCGAGCAACAGCCCCAGTTAGCAACCTCGACCCCAGAGTCTTTTGGAAAACGAGAAGACCCTGGGGACGTGACTGCTCCAGTTAGTGGCCGAAGCGATCGAGATTTAAAACCTTGGGCGATTGAACAACTCGTCCAATTTTGCTGCCTCCTGCACAAACTTGGTTTTTAAAAATGATACGAGTGTGTCTTAAGGGCAGGACAAACATAGTAGCCAAAGCTGAGCAATGGCCGCTGTTGCTTTTGCGTTCCTTTTTCTTCATTGCGTGATAATAATCACAAATCTGGTCCGTGATTTTCAAGTTTAGTTTGGAAATGTCTTTTGATTACATAGTTTGGATCTCAACAGAGTTACTTACCGCAAAGGAAATTATTTACATACAACATCGTGCCAGTAGGACACATGGATTTGTACTCTCCAGTTTTCCATGAGCTTGGATCAATGTTCAGGATGACATCTTTGATATTTAAGCTGATTCCTCTAGTATTTGACTCGTTAACCAGAACAGCTACAGACTGTTTCATCACATTCACAGACTCCACTACACTTCGAGCGTTCTCCCTCTCGGTTCTGTTAGTCGACTCTGGTCCTGTTACATTTAAGCTGAGCAACCTCAGGGATGCACTGCAAGAGACGTTTTTCTGGTCGTTGCTTTTGCAGTCATGTATAGTAAGATTCCTCACTGCATTAGAGGAAAGGTTCGCCAAGTTGCTTACCACTCTTTTAAAAGAAAATTGTACGTCTAACTGAAAACGTTCGTTGTCGTGTAAGGGAGTGTTATCAATATCCATCTGATTGTTTACTTCATAAGAATCTTGAAGACTTTTGTAGTTACCAACTATCTCAAACGATAATCCCAACGAAGGCACCACCAAAGAAAATCCAAGAACTCTGACGTGGACATCATGAGACAAAGTGAAGTCGAAAGGATTGGACACGTTACACTTGTAAAATCCTTCCTCCTGATTCTGGACTGATGTGAACTTCAATACGGAAAAGTTGCCTCTTTCAACCATGCTGTATCCATTCGCTTCGAAAGGCATGAAAAGCCACTGATAGCGAAGTGGTCGAACCAAGCTGGTTGCCTTACAGCGCAAATAAAAGCCGGTGTTGAAAGGAATGTTTAGCTTGTTTGGAGGCTGATATACCAGGGTTGGAGGTGGGTGTACCAGAACTAAACTGGGCGTCGATGTCTCCACACTCACATGGTTGTAAGCTTCACATGTATAATTACCGCTATCTTTTGTTGTCACTTTTTCGATTCGCAGATTCTCTGTGTCCCTTTCTAGCAGAAGCACGCCATTTTTCTTCCAGCGATAAGATGGCGCGGGATCTCCGACAGCTTTGCAAGTCAACTCGAGCGTCTGTCCAGTTTTCATGTTTTTCATCACTTCCGGGTGATTTGTAATGTTGGGAGCGACCGCACAGAAAATTTTTTCATTCTTGATGTCTTGCAAAATCTGTAGAATTCTAGAAGATTTCTCAGCCGCTTCAGCCACTGTAAGGTCTTCAAAGGAAACAAGGGCTTTGACTTCCGTCCTCAGTACTGCTAATGTTTTCTTCAGCCTGACTGCCTCAGGGAGAGTTACGTCTTGGTAGAGATAGTTCCAGTTGTCCACAAAGTCTTCCACACAATCCACGAAACCATTGCATTCTAGTGATGTGCCGTTAAACACCCGCTCCATACTCGCTTCCCATTCTCTGTAAACAACCCCAATCGCTGTTTGCACTTTATTGTGATTGGCTGCATTTCTTAGTTCAATCAAACTAACTGCAGTTATAACCTCCAAGTCTGAGGACACGGCCTTCATGGACTCCTTGACATCCTTAGCGGTGAGCCCAAACTCCGCTGCTTGCGTCATGTTGACAGCAAAATCATGGGCTTCAGCATGCCGTTGTGTTATGGTTTGATTCGTGAAAAAAGTGAAAGTCATTAATGACTGTGCAGAGATCTTATAAAGTGACCTTAATATGTCAGTCAAGACGCGATGATAGTTTGTAACTAAGGCACATTTTTTCTTGAATTCAAGCAGATTCGTTACATCAGCATTGCCTTTATCAATGGCTCGCCTCCTCCTCTCTGCACTTTTAGCTGAGGACATCTGATTTAATGGATGACCGGAACGGAGAACAAAGCTCACGTTACCAAAAAGTTCTCTGACTATTTGTTTCGTTACCTGTTGCAAGGAATCATTCAATGATGCAAAATTGAGGATTGGAAAGATCGTTTTCTCTATGTCCTTTGAGGCTATTTTGAACATCACTGGTATGGAAGTTTCGCGGGGCGAGGAAAAGGTAAGACCAAATGAAACTTCCTTAATATCCACTGGACATGTTTGATTGGTACTATTCCAAAGTTGTGCCAAAACAATTGCGTCCTTTAGAAGGGCACGGTTCTCACCATTCGCCCTTTGTGAGATTTTACTTGCTTTTGCAACAGCATCATGTACTCTTCGAAGAATGTTGCGTTCACTGGAAGCACCTTCCAGTTCAATCTTTTGTTTGACAAGTTCAATCTCGGCGATTCGGAGTTTCCTTTTTGCATTTTGTAACTTTGCGAATGGTTTTAAGAGATTACTTTTTGCTGTGTTAAGCTTGGACAGGGCTTTTTCTGTGGTCTTGAGGCAGAACGCGTTCTTTTCCTTGCATCTCAACTCCTTTATCCGTGATGCGCAGTTTACTACTTTGCAACACGGAGTGGCAACAGTTTCTTTTATAACGTTCACTTTACATGAAATCACACATGAGTAAGGTATTTCAGTGAAACTATAATTGAAGACATCCTTTTCACAAGGCTTAGGTTCAACGTAGCAGTTCCATTCACCCTCATCGTTACATCCGGTGACTGCATCGACCACTCCACTGACAACCCCTGCAAGTACTTTACCGTCAAGGTTTTTGTTATCGTTTGGTTCAGAGTTTGCATCTTTCGCCATTTTGATAACCGTGTTCTTATTGATATAGCGCGTAGCGAACAAGTAAGCTCCGGCAGATTTCGCCGCTTCTTCTACGCTTCCAGTTTCAGCAAGCTTAACTATTCCGTTTGCAAGTGGATAGGCAGCCTGTGGTGGAACGCCTACGGACGTCAAAACGCCCGTAGCTACTGTTTTAGCAACCGCTTTTCCCACTTTCTCAAAATTACAGCTTACGAAGGATAAGAGGTCACCCCCCGAATGATCGCATTCCTCTTCCAGGCAGGTTGCCATCTCCTTAAAAGGTGCGACCCTTTTCTTTAAGACATTATGACAAATCGCAGGACAAAGTCCTTGTTCCTCACTTATGAGGTCTTTGTAACAAGTGTTACATGCTGTTCCAGCCACACAGACATAGGGACATTCAGTTACGGAACATAGTCGTTCGAGCGATGCTTTGAGTTTGTTGAATTCTTGGTTACTTACGGATGCATTTTTCTCGGCAGTACTAGCCTCCTTCGAAGCGACTTTTTGGGCTTTTAACGCCCACAGGTATCGTGTGATGGCCAAACTAGTCCTATTTTCGGCACGAAGAAGTCTTGTTTTACTTTGTTCAAACCTTTTGCTCATTTTGTCATCGATATTTTGGAGGGCTACAAGTCGTTGTACAGTGTGCTCTACAACAACTTGAATGTACTCGTTTATCATCTTCTTCAAGACGTCTTCTAAAGCATCATTCGTGCCTCCTTTATTGGACCTTCCAAATATTCCGGTAACCTTTAAAAGTAAATAATCCCAAGGCTGTAGTCGACTCGAGCCACTTAACGATAGGCGATATGTTTTGAAGAGGAGGAAGTCTCGTTGAAAACTCGCAGAGGTGTTTGAAATAGTGACTTGCGACCCAAACGAGTCACCCAGTAGTGACACTGTTGCGTTAAGGACTCCATAAGTTTTGTTCTGGCTGTCAAAAGGTAGAAATATCTGGACAGAATCCGATTGGGAAATTGTAAAAAATCTTCCTAATGCTGCCTTCTGGTTGAAACTTGCGGACAATTTCAGATCCTGAGCTTTCCTTTTAGCACTGCATCGTTCAAAAGTTTGATTAGTGGCAATTTCCGTCTCAATGGTCACGTTGGGAAACTTCAGTGGTCCAAACTTAATTGTCCCATTTAATATGTAAAGCTCCAAATGCGTGGCTGATCTCGAGTTTAACGAGGAATTATTCAAATTGTGAGATTTGGCAAACAACGAAACATTGCTGTTAGGAATTTCTATGAAAGAGCCAAGTAGAGTAGACGTAAAGGGGTCTTTTTGCAAGAGGCCGTTCAGGGACATTTCGTATGTATCTTGGAACTTGCAAGATGTGTAGTTTTCGTACTCTGTTAAAAGTAAATAGTAAGATTTCATACCTTTAAAAAACGATTACCAAAGTAAATTCACTGCACAGAAAAATTTTTTAAGAACAGGCATGCTGCGTTCACTATAGAAATCACACATGCACCGGCGGTGACTTCAGCGATAATGATCTGTGTTACATTTTCATCACGGTCGTAGTCGCTGAATGTGGATGGTCTCGTAAACAACTCTCATAAACAGATCTTGGGTCCTGTCCAGGATTTCTTAAAACATTCTTGGTCTCAAATCTAGGGGCTCATTGGCCCCCCAAAAGGTTATTTGACTTTTCGCGCGAGAACTAAGGTGTGGACAACCTGCTGGCCATTGCACATGTGTAGTGAATCAACCACCAACCATGTCCTTTGAATCCCATGCGAAAGCTCTGGTAAAAGCTAGGAATATGTATTACAGTTGAACCTCCATTAAGGGCAACCTCTCCGCAACGGACACTTTGCTACAACGGCCACGTTTTTTTTGGCGGACGGCCACCTCTCAACAATGGCCATGTTCGTCTGTCTCCAAGGTGGCCGTTGTGGAGAGGTTCAACTGTATTTTGCAAGTTTCAAACTGAAATTTATTTGCCTGTTGGGTTTTCATTGAACCAAAGTACAGGCAAGATCTATTGCAGGTTAGTTTCTAGGTAAAATTTAGCCAAAACGGGCTTGTGAAGATTTAAGACGAAAACAATAAAGACTTTTTTTCAACGTAAGTGCAGAAAGTTCCCTAGCATCTTAACAGAAACTAGCTACGCATCCTATCATGGAAAAGTGTCGGTTCGTCAATGAGTGATTGTTTACTTAAGCGATTTCATTACTACTCTATATTAGAGGCCCAGAGAACCTTCTCCTTGCACACTGACCTTGGTATCGCACTTTTCCCGAGCACCTATGTAATGATATGTTGAATATTATCTGTTGCTTTAGCACGGAAAGAGCAACGGACACATTCGTTTGTCCTCGAATACCAGCCGTCCAAGATCTTGGATTTTTGACCCACACCTGTGTTTAATAACAGTATGTTAGCCTTAGGTTTTGGCAAACAAGTAGTGCTGAAGATATACAATATTGCCGTCAACAAAGTAACTTGTCATTGCGTTTTCGTGGTCCAAGGTGATTCCGTGGACAGAATGAAGAAATCTCTTTTGCAATAAGAAATAATTTTACAGGGACGTTTGAAATTAATGTAACATTCCTCGTATCCAGTGTTCCTTACGAAGCTTTTGTCTCTATGCTGTGGAACACTTCCTTGTAGGCGTTGTCAAATTTGTCCAAAATAACACCGACCCTCTATTGCCGTGATTCAAGAACGTGCAATAGTGATATGTAAATATGTAAATCTTGAATTTTGTATGTGTGTTTTTGGAACTGCCCATATGCAACCACGCTCCATCGTTTTAATTATGTATATTTTAGATAAGTTTACTTTTGTTCAAACTTACATTGTTGTCATCCTGAATGCCGATAACAGCATTTCCCACTAAACTAACTTTCATAAAATGGATGGGATGAGACCCAAAAATGGTCTTTTCTACTCTTCCATAGAGTTCCAGGTTGCCAGGTATGAAAACATTTCCTCGATTCCATACATTTACCGAATAGCTCGTTTTCCTTTGTCCAAAAAACTGCATTGCCAGAACAGAGATGTTCCAGCCTTTAGTTGCAAGTTCCTGGTACAGGGGCATACTTCTGAGTGTAACATAGGATAGCGGATTGAAGGCAAGAACCACCTTGGGGGAAAGGTCGTCTAAGCAAAGCTCCACAGCGGCCAAAAGGAACGAATTTTTGCCATATTTTGGTAGCTTTACAAAAGTCCCGTTAACTACAACGGTTATGGCACCAGTGTATAAAAGAACAGAGTAGTAGGTATGATCTTTCAGTGAAAGTCCTAGACCCTTCAAGACACCTTTGAGTTCCTTTCCGGTCCAAATATAAGTGATGACGTCATTTGGCTCAAGGCTCGAGAACGTTTTTGACGGAATAAGATGGAACCAGCTGGGTAGGCTGGAATTTAAAGACTGAAGAAAAACGGTTGCTAACGTCTCAGAGGGAAAACATTCTAGGCTTTTAGGAGTTTTGTCATAGCATTGCACTGTATCTCTTGAAACAGAAAAACGATCTATTTTGTCAAGGGTTGCTCCTCGCAAGCCGAGTGGTAAGGTAAGATTTCTAGAGACGATAGAGACAGCTCCGTTTGTGCTAACTCGTCTCGTGGACCGTAACCATGGTTCCGTTGATATTGCGTGAAGAAAACTGCTCCCTACTGGGCACTTATAAAGAGCAATTTTGTGACAGCCCTTTGGGAAACTGATGTTGGCATTTTCATTGCAAGATGTGCCATTCTCAAGAACAATCACCGTGTCTGGTAACACTGCCTGGTAATCCTTGGCTGTAGCACCAGAAAGGGTGTAAGTGATCTGATGGATACCTGGGAGACGTGCCGTGACAGTCATGTTAAAGATGTACAGTCTTCCTCGCTCAAGTTTTACTGGAACAACGACCAGATCCCGAGGATGCAATTCCAATCCTACTGAGTTAAATGTGATTGTCAGTTCCTCTTTTGGTGGAGACAACTGAAAAGTAAAGTTCCAGCTGCTATTCTGCTCAAGTCGGGGGTAATTTGGCTTGCGGAAAATCCCGACCTGGCATTTGCTGCCAATGTGAGCAGTGCCTGTGCAGTTACACCAAAAAGCAGTGCTGTTGAGAGGGCGGCACACGCCTCCATTCAAGCAAGGGTTGGGACGACAAACTGTTATAGCTGCAATGGTCAATCAAATATTAAAACATTAATCAATTAATTAATCATGTAATCTAGAGCGGTCACATCCTAAGGATGAAATACCTGGAAGCTTATATTCCTTACCGTCACAGTTGCCAGGAGTGGGTATCCATGTGGAGTCAGCTGAGCATGAAACGGTTTTGCTGCCATTCAAGAAATACCCAGAGCGACAATCAAATGAGCACTTTCCTTTGTATGTGGTTGAGCAGGGAATTTTGACAAAGCCATTGGAAGGAGGCTTAAGTCTTTTACATTGCTTTGCTGCAATCAGAGAAAAAGAAAATTGATGAGTAATTATGAAAGCATCGCTGGCTGTAATCCATAATCTTCATAATTTCTCGCAGTCTTGGTTTTTAAGATATACCAAAGGTTTAGATTAGTGGATTCTGAATCAATGTTTACCATCGCCGTAGGTCCGAAAGAGTTCTTCAAAGTTGTGGTAAAGTTAATTTGTGATTATTACAGAAAGGGGAAAGCCTTTCTTCGTCGATTTCGGTGAAAACCTACTACTGCCCTTACGTTTCAGCACTTCTCTAACGCTAGTGCTCCTGAACAAAGAAACACTCGAGAGTGAGTAACTAGGTTTCGCTCACGTTTACTTATACAGTTTACAGGACTTGTACACGGCAAGACATTTTTTGCTTTTACGTATTGCAAGTGTTGTAGGCTTACTTTTACAAACTGGACGAACTCCGTTCCATTGAGCTTCGATCAAACATCTGAGTAGCATTGATCCTACCAGTTCGTACCCAGGCTGACAGCTAAACTGACAGACACTGTCCACTGTGTTTCCAGTGCAATTTATGTATCCATTGACTGGTTGGGATAGGGACGAACACGGATACCCTGGTAAAGAAATTAATTTAATTCATCATTAGCGACACGATAAAAGGAAATTGTTGAAAAGAAAAGGCCAGATTGCAATATTGACACTTTTAAAAATTAAAACGGTGATTTAGTCGTGGACCAAATAGTTTCCTCTGATGGTATTGCGTCACAAACATCATGAACTAAATAATAGCACGCAATTCAAAACAATCTGATACAAACGCTTTTTTAGGTTTTTAAGAATCAGTAATTTAGAGGAAATCCCTTGCTCTTTCCTTCATCGGACTTTTCTTGAAGCCTCCTAGCAGTCCTAGGTTGACAGCGTTAAAGAGAATAATTGACTTAAAGGGGCTATGTCAAGTTATTTGCTATCCTTTTAAAAGCTGAAAAGGTTTTTTGCATCAATTCTATTTCAAAAAAATGGTCCAGATTTGTTATTTAAGACTAAAATTAGGTAGTGAAGCTGTGTCCTGTTGTCTACTGCTACGAATGGTAAGGATGGACATGGACTGAGACTTGAAAAAAATGAGCCAGCTTTTTAAAGTTTTAATGCTATGCCTGAAAAAACACCTAAACAATTATTATGGTTAATGCTTCGTGATAAAATTTTTTTTATGTACGTTTTAAGGCACTAAGTAATGACTTCATCACAAAATTGACCTAAAACAGTAATATCCTCAGGGGCGTAGCTCGGGGGGGGGGGGGCCCTGGGGTGCCCGTGACCCCCCCTTGGTAGGCCTTCTTTTGAGCAAACAAACTACAATATTCAGGTGGCGAAAACGCCATGACAATATCTTGGCCGTAAAAGCCATTGTTGAAAAGCCCACTTTTTTAAAATTTGTTTTTCTGTAACGTATTTTCGTCAACGGCTCTTGTCTTTAGTTAATATGGGCCTTCATGCCGCGATGATACAACTGAGCCCGCTGATACACGAGGGAGAGCAGTGGTATAAACCATATATAGTCGGCGATCCCCGGATGGTGTCCCTGTCTGTGAGCCCCCCCTTTGAAAAATCCTGGCTACGTCCCAGATCCTCGTGACATACTGCGCATACCTTTGCACGTTCTAAAGTCGCCATCAAGATAGTACCCTGGTCGGCAAGCGCAATAGTAGCTACCTGGAGTGTTACCACAGATTTGACTGCAAGTGTGCTGGCCATTTTTGCACTCATTATGATCTGGAGAAAAGTACCATGCATGAGAACTACGCCTTCCCGGTGACATAAATAGGTAACACAAAGAATGGGAATAAGCAAGGGGGATTACAATTCAGCAACAGGAGTGAGCTTGCGGCAGAGGCGAGAACGGAAAGTAAATGTGGTAGGGTAAATGGCTCCCATCTTCACTTCCTGGCATGTTTGTTTTTCTTTTGTAAGGCTGAGAGTAAGTTAAGTTACTTTGGTTTCGTTTAATGCATTCGCCACAACAATTACAATGATGAATAATAACAACAAAAGGAGTGTTAACAAATGAAAGACAAACCAAAGGGAAATAAGGGGCGGGGGTTGGGGTGGCTGGAGATATGAACAGAACTTTCGTCCCGATTGCAACTTAAATCGCTCGAGGTACAAGACAATAGAAGCTGAGATCACAGTTTTAAAGGTTGCAACATTGGAGGACAATAGGTCTCAAGGTTTGAAAGGTAAAATTGAAAAAGCTAGTTTTTTTGTTAACGAATTACTGGCTAATTTGAACTCGCACAGTAAAAGGTTCCATAACTCGGCAGTCATAATGAAGTATGACTTTCTGAAACAATCCTGATTGTGCTTGTAAATTAGGTTATAATATATATATTGTTAATGTCATATCGCCGTGGTCGGTATCGTTCCTCGAACGTGCGCTGGAACTTTCTAATGTCAGTGGATACTGTATTAGGCGGTAAAATAATTAACTGGTCAGCGGACAGCTTCCAAATAAATCACGTCACCTCAATGAGTTGACACATGAGCCCGCGATATAGTCATGGGATACTGGTGGCTATCCTGTTTTCACAGCTGTCAATTGACCAATGTCCAACGTAAAAGATGTGGACTTGGCAAGACACGCCTGAGACACCCCTCCGTTCCTTTTGATAGTCTCCCCTACCCCACCCGTACAATCCGTAGACGCGTACGTACGTACGTACGCTCGGTCAATCACGTGACAACCAAAGGAAAAGAGGTTGACCATAATCTATGGGTATGGGGCTCTGTCCCACGCGCGCTTCGCGCGCGTGGGAGCCCCGCAATTAGGTATTTTATACCGCTCTACCCTAAAATTATCTTCCTTCTGGGCAGACTAATATAGTTACTACGACTTGCGTTCTTGTAACAAACCAAAGTCTATGCCTACCAGAACAGGTCCTATTATCAGGATTAAGGAAGTAACCAGTCGGGCAAATACACTGAAAGCTACCATTCGTGTTTCTGCATTGGTATTGACATCCTGCCAGACCTGTCTTACATTCATCGATATCTGAGGGTCATAAGATAGGTTGACATAGTTAAACAACATTGTATGCGTCTTTGCGTTACGCAAATCTCAGTGGTAGAAAACACCTAGAAATATAATTACTCTCCACTAGACGGGATGTTAGTTCCCCGTGGGGCTTACCGTAGCAGTATGTCAACGGTACCCATTTATACACCTAGGCGGGAGGAGACAGTTTTAGACAGTTCTCGTGTCAGAAAACAACGCGGTGGCATAGCTAAGGCTCAAAGTCGGGGGCTTACCCATATAAAGGTTACCGCGCGCTTCCATGAAGTGCTTCGTCTGCAACGGAGAATGTAATGTGTTTTTTAAAAACAAAATGTATTTCGTATAACCTGAACAGGAACGGTTATCATTGTTGAGTGAGTAGCCAGTGTGGCACGTGCAAGTGTAGGCTCCGGGGTGATTCACACACAGCTGTCCACAAGTGTGATTCCCCGTCGTACATTCGTCATGATCTAGAAAAAAGGACGAACAATTACCTTCAGATCAAAGGAATAGTATCATCTAGTCACTCTAGTGTCATATTTTGAAAACCCAGTGGGCACTTTTCCCAGGTACGATGCGATACAATAGTCATTAGGAGCCTTGAAGACCTTTTCTGGGTTCGAAATTTAAAGCTCTGTTAGAATAATTTTGAGTCTGATACTTTTTGGCGACTTTTATGGGATAGACGATTCTGGTAACAGGCCTTTTAATTTTGGGGCTTTGTTACAAGAAGTAGCATATAAAAGTTAAGGAGGGAAGAAATGTCGGGGATTTACGTTCTTCGTTGTATTATTAGACCTTTCAGCGTTATACTCTTGGTTCAGTAGGACCTCTGCGGAGTTAACAATTTGGCTACATTCGTACCTTCTACCCACTATGATATAGATAAGCACCCTATCCCATTTTCCGGATCACTTTTAAATCAACGCAAAGGAAAAATTAGTCCAACTTTTTATTCAAAACGGTTCCAGGAAGGAAACCCCTCCAAAAAGGCTTTAGATATGATGATGGACAGCTGTGATGGAAATGCATACCCTCTTGAAAAGGTCGAACTTGAATGCGTCGCATTCATTCCTTGAAAATTAACCTGATGTTAAACTCATCGCTGATCTAGACATGATTTATGTATGGAAAAGTGGAGCAATGCCCATGGGACTTCCCTCTCTCCATATTAGGCTGATTTAGCAACAGAACGGAAACGTTAGTTGACGACGGCGCGTGCAAATCAAACAACTGGCTTGACCAATGGCAGAGCGACAAATTGGGCACCTGAAGTCGAGTTTAGTCCTTTTCGCGCGCTTTCCCGTCGTCAAATGACGTTCGCGTTCTGTTGCTAAATCAGCCTATTTGTGTTTGAGTTTACCTGCGCAATCCCTTTTGTTAGTCGTAAGTAGATATCCTTGAGGACAAGTGCAAAAGAAACTGCCAACTGTGTTGTTACACTTGTACTGACAAATAGGCTGGGCACACTCGTTTACAAAGTAAAGTTCCAGCTGCTATTCTGCTCAAGTCGGGGGTAATTTGGCTTGCGGAAAATCCCGACCTGGCATTTGCTGCCAATGTGAGCAGTGCCTGTGCAGTTACACCAAAAAGCAGTGCTGTTGAGAGGGCGGCACACGCCTCCATTCAAGCAAGGGTTGGGACGACAAACTGTTATAGCTGCAATGGTCAATCAAATATTAAAACATTAATCAATTAATTAATCATGTAATCTAGAGCGGTCACATCCTAAGGATGAAATACCTGGAAGCTTATATTCCTTACCGTCACAGTTGCCAGGAGTGGGTATCCATGTGGAGTCAGCTGAGCATGAAACGGTTTTGCTGCCATTCAAGAAATACCCAGAGCGACAATCAAATGAGCACTTTCCTTTGTATGTGGTTGAGCAGGGAATTTTGACAAAGCCATTGGAAGGAGGCTTAAGTCTTTTACATTGCTTTGCTGCAATCAGAGAAAAAGAAAATTGATGAGTAATTATGAAAGCATCGCTGGCTGTAATCCATAATCTTCATAATTTCTCGCAGTCTTGGTTTTTAAGATATACCAAAGGTTTAGATTAGTGGATTCTGAATCAATGTTTACCATCGCCGTAGGTCCGAAAGAGTTCTTCAAAGTTGTGGTAAAGTTAATTTGTGATTATTACAGAAAGGGGAAAGCCTTTCTTCGTCGATTTCGGTGAAAACCTACTACTGCCCTTACGTTTCAGCACTTCTCTAACGCTAGTGCTCCTGAACAAAGAAACACTCGAGAGTGAGTAACTAGGTTTCGCTCACGTTTACTTATACAGTTTACAGGACTTGTACACGGCAAGACATTTTTTGCTTTTACGTATTGCAAGTGTTGTAGGCTTACTTTTACAAACTGGACGAACTCCGTTCCATTGAGCTTCGATCAAACATCTGAGTAGCATTGATCCTACCAGTTCGTACCCAGGCTGACAGCTAAACTGACAGACACTGTCCACTGTGTTTCCAGTGCAATTTATGTATCCATTGACTGGTTGGGATAGGGACGAACACGGATACCCTGGTAAAGAAATTAATTTAATTCATCATTAGCGACACGATAAAAGGAAATTGTTGAAAAGAAAAGGCCAGATTGCAATATTGACACTTTTAAAAATTAAAACGGTGATTTAGTCGTGGACCAAATAGTTTCCTCTGATGGTATTGCGTCACAAACATCATGAACTAAATAATAGCACGCAATTCAAAACAATCTGATACAAACGCTTTTTTAGGTTTTTAAGAATCAGTAATTTAGAGGAAATCCCTTGCTCTTTCCTTCATCGGACTTTTCTTGAAGCCTCCTAGCAGTCCTAGGTTGACAGCGTTAAAGAGAATAATTGACTTAAAGGGGCTATGTCAAGTTATTTGCTATCCTTTTAAAAGCTGAAAAGGTTTTTTGCATCAATTCTATTTCAAAAAAATGGTCCAGATTTGTTATTTAAGACTAAAATTAGGTAGTGAAGCTGTGTCCTGTTGTCTACTGCTACGAATGGTAAGGATGGACATGGACTGAGACTTGAAAAAAATGAGCCAGCTTTTTAAAGTTTTAATGCTATGCCTGAAAAAACACCTAAACAATTATTATGGTTAATGCTTCGTGATAAAATTTTTTTTATGTACGTTTTAAGGCACTAAGTAATGACTTCATCACAAAATTGACCTAAAACAGTAATATCCTCAGGGGCGTAGCTCGGGGGGGGGGGGGCCCTGGGGTGCCCGTGACCCCCCCTTGGTAGGCCTTCTTTTGAGCAAACAAACTACAATATTCAGGTGGCGAAAACGCCATGACAATATCTTGGCCGTAAAAGCCATTGTTGAAAAGCCCACTTTTTTAAAATTTGTTTTTCTGTAACGTATTTTCGTCAACGGCTCTTGTCTTTAGTTAATATGGGCCTTCATGCCGCGATGATACAACTGAGCCCGCTGATACACGAGGGAGAGCAGTGGTATAAACCATATATAGTCGGCGATCCCCGGATGGTGTCCCTGTCTGTGAGCCCCCCCTTTGAAAAATCCTGGCTACGTCCCAGATCCTCGTGACATACTGCGCATACCTTTGCACGTTCTAAAGTCGCCATCAAGATAGTACCCTGGTCGGCAAGCGCAATAGTAGCTACCTGGAGTGTTACCACAGATTTGACTGCAAGTGTGCTGGCCATTTTTGCACTCATTATGATCTGGAGAAAAGTACCATGCATGAGAACTACGCCTTCCCGGTGACATAAATAGGTAACACAAAGAATGGGAATAAGCAAGGGGGATTACAATTCAGCAACAGGAGTGAGCTTGCGGCAGAGGCGAGAACGGAAAGTAAATGTGGTAGGGTAAATGGCTCCCATCTTCACTTCCTGGCATGTTTGTTTTTCTTTTGTAAGGCTGAGAGTAAGTTAAGTTACTTTGGTTTCGTTTAATGCATTCGCCACAACAATTACAATGATGAATAATAACAACAAAAGGAGTGTTAACAAATGAAAGACAAACCAAAGGGAAATAAGGGGCGGGGGTTGGGGTGGCTGGAGATATGAACAGAACTTTCGTCCCGATTGCAACTTAAATCGCTCGAGGTACAAGACAATAGAAGCTGAGATCACAGTTTTAAAGGTTGCAACATTGGAGGACAATAGGTCTCAAGGTTTGAAAGGTAAAATTGAAAAAGCTAGTTTTTTTGTTAACGAATTACTGGCTAATTTGAACTCGCACAGTAAAAGGTTCCATAACTCGGCAGTCATAATGAAGTATGACTTTCTGAAACAATCCTGATTGTGCTTGTAAATTAGGTTATAATATATATATTGTTAATGTCATATCGCCGTGGTCGGTATCGTTCCTCGAACGTGCGCTGGAACTTTCTAATGTCAGTGGATACTGTATTAGGCGGTAAAATAATTAACTGGTCAGCGGACAGCTTCCAAATAAATCACGTCACCTCAATGAGTTGACACATGAGCCCGCGATATAGTCATGGGATACTGGTGGCTATCCTGTTTTCACAGCTGTCAATTGACCAATGTCCAACGTAAAAGATGTGGACTTGGCAAGACACGCCTGAGACACCCCTCCGTTCCTTTTGATAGTCTCCCCTACCCCACCCGTACAATCCGTAGACGCGTACGTACGTACGTACGCTCGGTCAATCACGTGACAACCAAAGGAAAAGAGGTTGACCATAATCTATGGGTATGGGGCTCTGTCCCACGCGCGCTTCGCGCGCGTGGGAGCCCCGCAATTAGGTATTTTATACCGCTCTACCCTAAAATTATCTTCCTTCTGGGCAGACTAATATAGTTACTACGACTTGCGTTCTTGTAACAAACCAAAGTCTATGCCTACCAGAACAGGTCCTATTATCAGGATTAAGGAAGTAACCAGTCGGGCAAATACACTGAAAGCTACCATTCGTGTTTCTGCATTGGTATTGACATCCTGCCAGACCTGTCTTACATTCATCGATATCTGAGGGTCATAAGATAGGTTGACATAGTTAAACAACATTGTATGCGTCTTTGCGTTACGCAAATCTCAGTGGTAGAAAACACCTAGAAATATAATTACTCTCCACTAGACGGGATGTTAGTTCCCCGTGGGGCTTACCGTAGCAGTATGTCAACGGTACCCATTTATACACCTAGGCGGGAGGAGACAGTTTTAGACAGTTCTCGTGTCAGAAAACAACGCGGTGGCATAGCTAAGGCTCAAAGTCGGGGGCTTACCCATATAAAGGTTACCGCGCGCTTCCATGAAGTGCTTCGTCTGCAACGGAGAATGTAATGTGTTTTTTAAAAACAAAATGTATTTCGTATAACCTGAACAGGAACGGTTATCATTGTTGAGTGAGTAGCCAGTGTGGCACGTGCAAGTGTAGGCTCCGGGGTGATTCACACACAGCTGTCCACAAGTGTGATTCCCCGTCGTACATTCGTCATGATCTAGAAAAAAGGACGAACAATTACCTTCAGATCAAAGGAATAGTATCATCTAGTCACTCTAGTGTCATATTTTGAAAACCCAGTGGGCACTTTTCCCAGGTACGATGCGATACAATAGTCATTAGGAGCCTTGAAGACCTTTTCTGGGTTCGAAATTTAAAGCTCTGTTAGAATAATTTTGAGTCTGATACTTTTTGGCGACTTTTATGGGATAGACGATTCTGGTAACAGGCCTTTTAATTTTGGGGCTTTGTTACAAGAAGTAGCATATAAAAGTTAAGGAGGGAAGAAATGTCGGGGATTTACGTTCTTCGTTGTATTATTAGACCTTTCAGCGTTATACTCTTGGTTCAGTAGGACCTCTGCGGAGTTAACAATTTGGCTACATTCGTACCTTCTACCCACTATGATATAGATAAGCACCCTATCCCATTTTCCGGATCACTTTTAAATCAACGCAAAGGAAAAATTAGTCCAACTTTTTATTCAAAACGGTTCCAGGAAGGAAACCCCTCCAAAAAGGCTTTAGATATGATGATGGACAGCTGTGATGGAAATGCATACCCTCTTGAAAAGGTCGAACTTGAATGCGTCGCATTCATTCCTTGAAAATTAACCTGATGTTAAACTCATCGCTGATCTAGACATGATTTATGTATGGAAAAGTGGAGCAATGCCCATGGGACTTCCCTCTCTCCATATTAGGCTGATTTAGCAACAGAACGGAAACGTTAGTTGACGACGGCGCGTGCAAATCAAACAACTGGCTTGACCAATGGCAGAGCGACAAATTGGGCACCTGAAGTCGAGTTTAGTCCTTTTCGCGCGCTTTCCCGTCGTCAAATGACGTTCGCGTTCTGTTGCTAAATCAGCCTATTTGTGTTTGAGTTTACCTGCGCAATCCCTTTTGTTAGTCGTAAGTAGATATCCTTGAGGACAAGTGCAAAAGAAACTGCCAACTGTGTTGTTACACTTGTACTGACAAATAGGCTGGGCACACTCGTTTACCTCTGCGGATTAAAAGGATTAGAGACTTATCTTAGTGGTCTAGCTACAAAACAACGAAAAGGCTGCAAGGTGCTGAACAAAGGACTTTTTTGCAATTCACATCGTCCGAAAACATGGCTCTCTTACAATATCCTATTGGTAGTAAATCGGTTTTCAAAATTGGAGTTAGGAGTGGTTGTTGCAGCACCATATCTTTTACGTGCTTTTCAAGTAACCGATGGCCATATTGAGTCCTTAGGTTTTAACTGTAAAAAGAGCTTTCTGGTCTGCACTCGATACATATTATCCAACTAAACTTTAATCAAGTCAGCTACCAGTTTCTCGGCGGTAACTCACTCAATGTTCGCCTATCGGCCCGATGGAGACTCTACAAGTTCTTTGTCACAGATTTATCATTCTTGAAATGGCCTACCAGAACATGTTCTGCTGTTATTGTCCAGGTCATATCCAGTCCGACAGGTGCAAGAGTAGCTTCCAGGTTTATTGACGCAATTTTGCTGACAACTGTGGCCACCCTGACATTCATTGATGTCTACAAGAAAAAATGGTAGGCGAAAGGCTTTGGCTAAACGGTCGGCTGCCGGTTAAGGTTTTAAAAATAATGTAAACTGAGGCTTGAAAAACCACTGCAAAACCGTGAACGATCATTGAACGTTGGATCAAACAAGATCGTGATCAGTCGAAAAAGATAAAAATAGAATTAAAGTCAAAAAGACTACTGCAAAGACTGATCAAACAACGTGAAAAAGGCTGAGGTATACAATATTTCGACTGGCCAATAGCAGTCTTCATCAGGTTTATTAGGAAAAACCACGGATATACAGAATATATACTACTGTAAATAATAAACAGGAGTTACATGATATGGCGTGGTAAGGTGTGGCTGCTAAGAAAAATAAACCGAAGAAAAGATAAAGATTACATAATGATAATAATTCGTCACGTTTGTTCATTCCCAGAGGCTCGATGAGCAAGCTCCCCCTGGCAAATTTAGCGAACTTGAAAACGCTCCCTCATGTGTACTAACACGTGCAAAATGAGCCTGGAACATGCTCCGGGAGCAAAACCCCTAGTACGTGAATCGGCCTTAAGGACTCAAGGGATTTGACTGTAGCCTGCACCTAACACGAGAAAAAGCTTTGTGAGCAAATCATAATTTGATCAATTTAAGTCTGATCGGCTTTGAAGAGATCAAGAGAAATATAAGAGTTACCTTGACAGTTGAAGAATCCAGACTTGGCGTACCCCTGATCACAATAACATCTGTAGGAACCGTCCCAATCAGAACAATGTTGCTGGCACCCGCCATTATTGGTCAAGCACTCGTTTATATCTGTTGGTATCGATGTAAATACTTTATAAACCCATGCTACTAAAGGCTGAAGTTTGTTCACGACTGTAGCCTGTTCCAAGCATTCAGATAGTGGAGAGCGGTGCGAAGTAAAGAAAGCTTTTATTTTTTCGCGCTCCTTTTTACTTCGCACCGCTCCCAACTATCTGAACGCTTGGAACAGGCTATCACGACTGTAGCAAATACTTCCTGTTAAGTGTATAAGTCTAGGATTTTATAAAATCTTACGCATTAAATGTAGCGTATGTCAGTAAGATGTTAAGTATTAATTTAGACACCCAAACTACCAATATTTTTCAAGATTTGTTTTCTAGTTCGACTGGGTATGCTTACTTGTCCTCCGACCATTTCAAGTTTATTCCAAAGTGCGATAGGTGTTATGACAAGTGCGACAGGTATTACAAAGTGCGACAAGACAGAGGTTTGAGTTATAGAGGTTTCGAGTTACCGAGGGTAAAATTACAGTAAATGTACGAAGGAAATCCAGGGGAAATCCACTTTGGTTTGAGTTAGTGTTAGGTTCAAATTAGGAGGGTTCGAGTTATCGGGAGTCAACTGTATAAAACTTATTAGTTTTCATACAACAAAAAAGGTTCCTCTTCAAGGCTTTATTAAGGTGAAATTTGAATATTTTGAACATTAAATTTTTATTTTCACTGTGAAAAAAATTATTTTTCTGGGAAAAAATACCACTAAAATGATCGAAAAAAATGCTAGCATAATGTACAAAACCCTATAGCTAGTAACTAAAACCTACTGTATCGCGTTTTGCCCTTATATTGCATGAGATAAAGATCTACCGCGTGATTCAATTTTTGGCTACGGTAATGTTTCCCTCCCCTTCCCTTCCTGCACAATTGTGCAGCTTTTGCGCCATTCATGAATCAGTTCGTCAAAATTGTGAAAAAATTGTTGCATAAAGCTTCTATAGGTTGGTCTCGGTGTAGAACTTTCATACAGTGTACAAGTTATCAGTAGCTTTGTAGCCTGCGAGCAAGCTCTCCTATTTGGTCAAGCGAAGCGAGCCTCGCGAGAACGCGCGAGCGAGGGGCCGAGGAAAGGAGACCTTTCCTCTGCCCCTCGCGGCTTCACCGCTCGCTTGCGCGTTCTCGCGAGACTCGTTTCACTCGCCCTAATAGGAGAGCTTGCTCGCAAGCTAGTAGCTTTGCAAGCGGTATCGTACATACCCGTTCTGCACTTTGCACCCCTCCATCCCGGCATACACCGACATCGTTCAGGGCTTATGCAAGTGCCTCCGTTAGCACAACCTGGTTGGCCTGTGCAAATTGCTTTAAAATAAGAAAGAGCGGAAATTAATAATAATGGAAGATCTTTTGTGTGATTGATTTTTGCGCAACTCGGCGAGTAAACTAAAACAGTTCTGCCTCGCCTATCACTGAGGTCCTGGAATAAATTAAAATAATAAAAATAAAAAGCTCACAACTGTAATTACTTATTTTGCTTTTCCCTCCGAAACATAAATTATTATTATTATTATTATTATGTGATTGCTCCCACCTTAATAGCTAAAAAATTATCAATAATTATATCTATGCCATCCGTCCTTGATTTTAGGTGGGAGAAATTAAAATATATTTTTTTAATTCGTTGTTGTTGCAGGCCACTTATAGGCAAATCCTTGTTTACATTTTTTGTCTCGTTAGCATTGGCTTATCAATATCTGATGAAGCTAATAAAATGAAGTTTCTGAATATCAAAAGAGCATAATAATTTCCGTAATCTCTGAAAATTTGAGCCCCATATACCAAATAGTTTCGGAGAAATTCTCTTCGAAAACCCCCAAAATTTACAAAGGGTGTGTGAGCTCAAGGTTTTGCCACCCAGTAATTTTGCATTTTTTAATTGCTGCTATTTTCTTAATTTGTTACTGATAACTGCATAGATTAACAAGCTGTCTTAATTTTTTAACCTAATTGGTATATACGGCTACATCGTTTATGGGTTAGCTCGTATGCTAATGAGCAAAAATGTAAAGAGTGACGTCACGATGAATCCGCCTATAACTATAAGGTAAAAAAGTGGCTATTTTTGTGTAACTTACGTATTGTACATTCGTCCCCGGCTGCCCTCCACCCGTGGGCACAATAATAGATGGGCTTGTATCTCGTCACATAATAATGAATATTTTTCCATTTTTGACGGTATGTAGTTCTACAAAAGAAAGAAACATTGTTACTTGTAAATTTCGCACTCAGTGCCCAGGTCTAACATTTCTTAATAAAAGATAATGCGTGCAGAAGAAACTCATTGTAAATGACACCCGATCATAAAAACGGAGCTATGCATGACTTACCCATCGTAGCATGCACATGTCAACGCACACTTCCTCGGCAGAGACGTGCGCATAGGAAGTCTAAAGCAATGAAGTTTTGAGGTATAACCTGCTCTTGTAAATATGGTGTTTGGTTTTTAGCTCTTACTGTGTTACAGCTTACTTCTAATTTCTTCTTAAACGGAACCTCCTCGTTATCCCATTATTACTATTCTATAATATTATTTCTCTTCAGCCCTCGGTTTTGAGCGTTACCTTCATGCATATACAGTCAACTCTCTCTCCTAACAGATTCCTCTCTAGGACGGACACCTGGTGTTGGTCCCTGCCGTTTTTCAGTCATTTTACTGTAACTAAACTCTCTATAAGAAACCGCTCAATGAACGAAAGTCTGTTGTTAGCCGCCGGCTCAGGAACTTTGATTTTGATTTTTACCAGCAACCATAATGCAAAGTTGCTATTTGTTGTTTTGTCGTCTTTCTCCAGTTCAGGGAGTATATACTGTTTCGCTTTTAGACCACGAAGCCGTGAACGTTTGCTCTATGAATGAACGTTTGATCAGTTTGATTCTACAATGAGAAAATGATTTCACTTTTCTGCTACAATATATGTTCCAGTTTTAGATGTTCTGTACAATTTAAATTGAACTGACCATGCAGCCCATAGACCTTTAGGCCCCGGCCTACAAATGTTTGGTTTGATCACTCTTTCGCTTGTAATCAATAGGCTGATTTAGCAACAGGACGGGAACCTCAGTTGACGACGGGAAAGCGCGCGGAAAGGACTAAACACGACTTCCGGTGCTCAATTTGCCGCTCTGCCATTGGTCAATCTGGTTGTTTGATTTGCACGCACCGTCGTCAACTGACGTTCCCGTTCTGTTGCTAAATCAGCCTAATTATGCATTGTTGGGGTGAGCTAAAAAGCTAAGAGCTCAAAGTGTTGGTGAGGTCAGTGCGTACTAGTCATGCGTGCAATTTTCAGGATATGTAGAAATGAAAGTAAGCAAGGCCTACAACTAGTCGAAAAGCTGGCTACGCCCCTGCAGACGTTTTCATTGTGAATGGGTTCAGCTTTAAAATTACTGGTTTCACGTTACCGCGACTCTCTCTAAGACGGACAGTCAGTCAATGTCTCAATTTTTTTATTTGGGCTTTTTAGAATCAATAAGCAACCTTCTACTTTACTTGAAATCTCTACGCTAATTCAGGTTTACAACATGGCTGCAAGCTAGGTATCGGTTTAGCGATGAACCAATGCACGTGAATGTTATAGAGGTGTCCATGAGCGTACTATAGAGGTAGGAATTTCCTGGTCTAAGAGAACTGTCCGTAATCGAATGTCTGTAGAGAGAAGGTCAACTGTATTCACGAAAACAAACTGAATGTTTCCCAAGCCCCGATCTCTCTCCCTTCCAGTTTCTGGGGTTTTTTGAGTATGCTAGTTCCTAGGCGTTCTCCCTTGTCTGGTTGCCCCCACTTAGAGTCTCCGTGACATCCCGGCTCACACTATTTTTTTGGATTTACAAAATATTACTGGATTGTCCCTTTTCCGCTTCCGTTGTCCAGGGTTTGCGAGCCGAGAATGCCTCGAACACTAGACTACTTCTAACCCTACTTTTAAATGGACAAGCGAAAACAGATCTCACCTGCATCTGCGACAATTTTGGCAAGACCAGGACCATGTTTTAGTGCATGTCCTGCTCGAAGTTAATGTCGTGACAGCCGTGGAAAGTCTTGTTGAATAGGAAACCCATCTTGTTTTCACGTTGCGACTGCAAGGACATGATATAAAATCGATTATATGTGAACTGGACTATACCTGTTTGTCGAGCTGCCATAAGCCGCGTTCCCCGACAGGACTAAAATTTCAATGACCCTTAACTTACTTTATATTTGACTCCTCACTGTAAACAGGATTTTATACAGCATAATAGTACTCGGGGTTGTTGACATATTCTTAATTTTTTTGCGGTCATTTTATTTGTCTGACTCGTCGTCTTCGTCATCATCGTCATCATTATTTAGTTACTTATATACGTCACGCCCACGAGCTAATAGCTCCTTCATTATGTATGTCAATTGCCCTCTATTCTCGTCAAGACATTTTTTACCTTCTTTGATTCGCGTTATATATGGGCCTGTCTGCATTAATGTCTTTCTCATCTTTCTCATCCTTTTTTTTGTATAATGAGAACTCCTGTCCGAAGCGAAGTTTCATTATAAGGTTCACCTTCCTTCTGCTTAAGTATCTGGCAGATTAGCGGATACCGGAGAGGCCATTTGCCCTAATTTTGGGCAAAATCACTGCCCAGGAAGGCAAAAGGTCCACTTCCGGTTGACCTGCGTCGTTGAAAAATGCCTTTGCTTAAGGCGCCACCAACCTTGATCGCAGGGTGTCCCCGCTACCGTTTCTAAGGGAAGAGCTCTGGTGACGAGATTGGGGCGTCACGTTTAGGAGTTCACCGAAAGCAGTGCTTCCTTCCTAGGAATCACACTTTTGCAAGAAAGGACGTCTGGAAACGAAGCAGGGAAGAGAAAATTTCCGCAAGCCAAGGTTACTGCTTGGCTAACGATTGATGATTTGTAAAACGACAGGACAAAAAAAAAAATCGAC